CCTTGCAATTTTACTAGCAACAATGCAGAAATGGTTTGACATTGCCCTCTGCCAGACTGTAAACTATAAAATTTATAACACAATCCTCTTCACACAAATTTCAGCTTTCCTTTATTTCTATTGCATAAGACCTGGGAAAGGTTTCTGATCTTGAATCTTATTTTGTTGAAATCAGGCAAGCTTCATTCAGTATGAAGTTTGCCAGATTTCAGACAAAATAAATGCAGGTGTTTTGTGCTTGGTGCCTTTAAATTATGGTATTTTGATGGCCTTTACAAATTACTACTTGACAATTTGATGCAACTTTTAGGGGAATAAACCTGCTGAGTTTAAAATGAATGAGTTTTGAAGCAGGCTTTAAAGTCTGAGGGTTTGCTTAGTTGGTTTGGGTTTTTTGAGCAGGTAGGAGAATGTCAGAACAGCATAGAAGTGATATAATCCCACAATAGTTCAAAGGTTTAAATACAGTGAAAAAATGGAAAATCTCATTTTCAGAGGGTGGGGAAAGAAGTGCTTTTTTCCTTCTCTTCCTCCTCCTTAAATATGTGTTTATACAATTTGTAAGAAAACTATATGCATCATAATTGTGTCTAGGAAATAAAACATGAAAGATTTTGGAAGTTACAAGAAATGGTAATATATTACATTTTAATCAATGGGCAACCAAGCCACAAAAAATGCAGTACTAAGGAGTGATGGTAAATGTTCTTGATATGGTTGTGCATAATGCTTGGTGTTACTCATGGTTTATGGAGTATGCCACAACTCACTGGGTTTTATTCAGTACAAAGTCATAAACTGTGGTTCAGAAACCACGATGACTGGGTTCACCCAAAATTTTAAGCCCAAATCAAATAAACTGAATTATGTATTCAGTATGTTGTGTGAACCAGGACGCTAACCAAGATCATGAAGGCTTGTATTTGGTTTATTTCAGATGAACTCTGTTTCAGTTAGGACAACTGATCAGTTTCAAGATTTGCCTTTGATGTACACCCATGATTTAGATATAAGGATTCGAGGAATTTCTGTCTGCTTTGCCATGTGGTAACAAATGCCACAGAATTGTTTGAGTTATGGGTAGAGGGGTCCAAGTGTTCATTCTGGAGCCACAGATCTATTAAGATACCATTGCACCTTTCCCAACAATAGCATTTTTCAGTAAGACTGATCTGGTTGGAATTGGAATATCAGCAGAAGTATCCAGAAGTTGCTTGAGATGTCTTTTTCTGAATTGCTAAAATTGGCATGAATCATTAGTGAAAATTGGGGGAGCACAGTGGCGACTGCAAAGAAGCTGTAAGGGAGCCTTGCAGGAGAACTTCATTTGCTATGATTAGTCATTGAACAATGTCATGTTTTGTAACGTTGAGAGTGTACTTTGTCACTTGCAGGCTTTTGTCTCTGTACGAATATTCCTTTTGTATTCTTCACTGAACTTCATATTTTCACATCTTTTTTTAATGTTTCTGTATCTTCACAGGCCCCTCCTTATTTGTTCCTATTGTATATTTCATCTCATTTTGTATCAGCTCTTACTCTCACCCCCACATCTGTCACTTAACTCCTTTTTCTGAGTTTGAGTCATTGTTCTTTCTCATACAACAGCTAGCTAATTTTGTTAGTTCAAAACAGCAATAGAAGAAAAGGCAGTTTTCCCTGGGCTATGCATGTTTCAGGAATATCTATTTACAGAGGCAGCTGCTGAGATCAAGTAGGGGAGACTAAATAAGCCAAAGGTATTTGTAAAATAGAACAGCTTTTCTCAGGGAACAACAAGGTTTTACAATCTAAACTTAGTGTATAGAATTGGCTTCCTTCTTAGATATATTATTTGGTGGTGGTTAGAGCAAAATTAACTGAGCTCCTGCAATGCTAGCATGATGCAGTATATCTGATCTGTGCAAAGGCTGTGTTCATATAGCACACCAAGCCTTGGGTTGCTTAACCAGAGTTCACCAATTAAGCCGTGATTTACTGAGCTTGGACAACATTCATGTACATTAAGCCAAATTTAAACAAACCGCATCATGGCTTCATGTGATGCGTCTATGTTGATGATTTAAGTAAGATATTTCTGTACCACCTTTGTATTGGAAACTTCTGACATAAAATTCAGTAAAAGATTGCAAAATGGCCATCTGACTTTAATCTTTGGTAACAAGCTATATTGAATCTGCTTGCTGAGAGTAGTTTCTGCAGAGGCAAGTGGGTGCTGACTAAACTGAGAAAAGGATGATAATTCATAAGCGCCCATCTGTCTCTTGAACTAATCTCTCACAGCTAGAGTACTTCTCTCACAGCTAGAGCGAGGCAATAATTTTTTGTCTTCGATCGATTGGAACAACAGGAGATATTTTATCTTTTTTGTAAGCCTTGACTAAATGGATCCTATACTTTGGTGTTTGAAGTGCGACTTGAAAGAGCAGTAGAGAAAAAAAAAAAGTTGTGTTATCTTCTGCAAGGCAATGCAAGGCACAGCCTCCATAGTGGTTGGATTGAGCATTATTGATGGATGTGAGAATACCTCGACTATGGATTTTGTAGTATTTTTAAAATATTTTTATTCTTAAATTGTTTTTGAATTGCTTTGGTGTTTTTATATTGTTTTTAATTGTGTGTGGGCCACCCAGAGTCATATATTTGAGATGGGTGGCTACATAAATTGATGTGATTAATAAATATGAAAGTTATGTATAAAATCAGTATCAAACTATGTGGCTCAGACCTTTCTGCCATGGTACAGAAGTGGGTCAGTGTCCTGTGGTTGGGCAGTCCAAATGCTTTTGGGAATAGTGATCAAAATTTCTTTTTCTTTTGCTGTAAAAAGCTTTTTTGGGTTGGAGGCATTAAAACCTCTTTCTTCTACAATATGGCTGTTTCTCTCCTGGTATTGTTATACTACTGCTAGGAGCAATAACAAAATAGTAATCTAATTCTGACCAACCATAAAAAAGTAGATTGCAGAGAGAGCAACTAATGGTTGTATATCGGTCACCCACTTGTGAGTTAAAGGCTTTTCCCCCACCAGATTATGTACCAATGTATTAGTTTTTATATAATATACACAGTCTTCCCTCCTGTATTTTTTCTTCACAAGAACCTGGTAAAATAAGTCGACTTCT